GGTGGAGGAAGCGGTATTTCAAAAGTTTGGCTGTTTGACCTATGTATTCAGCACCGCAATTAGAGCTTGCAATACTGTAAATCAATTTTGATTGAAATTTTTTTGAAATCTTGTCTTTGACGTTTGAAAAAAGAGAATTTATTGTCAAAGTAGTGCTATTAGCAATTTTTATATTATCTATGTTTTCAAAAATCCGTGAGAGTTTAGGAGTGATATCAGTAATGAAGGACAGAGAGTTGAAGAGGGTAAAATTGTTGACAGTTTGTGAATAATTGTCAATAATGTTAATATCGCTATTATCACTATTTTCAAGAATGGGTGGATTCAATTTTTCTATTGGAGACGTGCTAAATAAAATTTTATCGAATGGGGATAGTGAATATGAATTTTACAAAACGAGTTTAAGTAGGGTAATCAAATTTTTTGGTGGAAAGAAGAGTAAGAATTGCTCATGACACGTTGATTCATTTGTTTGACCATATTGACTTTGATGGATGGTCTATGGTGGGACCAGTAATTCATATATCTACCTGAACTAGTAGGTTTCCTGTACCAGTCAACGAGTATGGTGTTATTGGAAGAGCGAATGAGTTTTGAATCTAAAAATGGGACACTACATTCAGCGTCTTCTTTTTCGATGGTAAACTGTATATATTGGTCAAAGCTGTTAAAGATTTCAACAATTATATCGACTTCTGTTGATGTCATCTACATATTTTTTGAGAAAAAGACTTGGAAAGGGATGTCACCTAAGGAAGTATTTAGCAGGTCATCCATAACATAGCTAGCCAAGATTGGGCTTGATTTTTTCTCATTGGAGTTACAAACATCTGTTTGTATATTTTGTTTGTAGAAGTTCGAAATCATTTTCATGTACATTGCAATAATCATCATCAACATCGAGACTTGCCAGAACGTAATTTTCAGGTAGTTGGATTTTATTAAATTTTGTGGAAACTTCAAAAGGGTTTTTTATATAATATGGATTTTCATAATCGTATACTTCTGTCAGAATGTCTGTCAAGAAAGATGCCAACAGTTCAGTAGGATTGTTAATGGAGGCAATGATAGGTCTTACCGAGAGAATGGGTTTATGGATTTTAGGTAATGCATAGAATTTTGGAATAACTTCTGTATATGATGTTAATTCCTTTTTTGTAATTTTATCTATTTGTTTGGAAATGAAAAGGTCTTTAATGAGATTATTACATTTAGTTTGTACTTACGTCTCTTATCCTTCCTTTTCAACAATACATATTTCTCTTTCAATAACAACATATACAAACAAATTTTTGGAACTTCAATGGGAGCAAAAATGAGCCAATCTTGGCTAGCTATGTTATGGATGACCAACTAAATAATGTCTCAGGTGTCATTCCTTTTCAAAAAATATGTAGATGACATTATCTTATTCCATCCGTCAACAGAAGTCGATATAATTGTTGAAATCTTTACCAGCTTTGACCAATATATACAATTTATCATCGAAGAGGAAGATGCCGAATGTAGTGTCCCCTTGTTGGATACAAAACTCATTCGCTTTTCCAATACTACCGTACTCGTTGACTGGTATAGAAAACCTAATAATTCTGGTAGATATATGAATAACTGTCTTTCCATAGACAATCCATCAAAGTCAATCTGGTCAAACAAATGAAACAACGTGTCATGAACATTTCTGACTCTTCCTTCCACCAAAAAAATTTGAATATCCTCCTTAAAATTTTTTTTCACAAATTCATATCCATCATCCCTATTCAACAAGATTTTATTCACCACGTCTCAGAACAATTAAATCCACCCATTCTTGAAAATAGTGATAATAGCAATATTAACGTTAATGACAATCATTCACAAAATGTCAACAATTTTAACTTCTTCAACTCTCTGCCTTTCATTACTGATATCATTCCTACACCCTCACTGTAATGTCTGTGTAATGTCTAGGGAACTAATTTTATAAACCCTTCCGGTAGGTACTACGTTGTTTTTATTACTACAGAAAACATATTCATACTTTTTATATCTTAAAGGCAACGAGTATTGTGCTGGGCATTGATATATGAACTTGAG